CAAACTTAGGACATGGACCACTCTTAACGAATGATGGGCTTGCTAAGAACTGTAGAGGCACATCTGCTCAGCGACTGCATTTGCGCAAGCTTAGGTAGCTGAGATGGGAGACTGAGCACTTTTTTGTCTATTTTAAAGCACTTTAAGGCGAGAATGAGTCGAATTTTCTTATTTATTGGCTCTCGTATTATTCTTATAGAGATTGTCGTTTTTCTGCCAACTCTTATAACTCAACTTCTAGAGTACCTGAAATTCTGGTTAAAGTCTTAAATTAAAGTTAAAGAGTTGGTCCAGAGTCCTATTGGGGTTTTTAATTTTATTTGCTTTAGTTTAGTTTTTATGAATATTTGAAGTTTGAAAAATTACAAAATGTCAAATTGTACCGACTTCAAATATTTATAAAAAATAAACTATAGCAGATAAAATTAAAAGCCCCAATAGGATTGTGGACCAGCTCTTTAACTTTAATTTGAGACTTTAACCAGAATTTCAGGTACTTTAGAAGTTAAGTTATAAGAGTTGGCAGAAAAACAACAATTTCTATAGGAACAATACGAGAGCCAATAAAATAAAAAATTCGACTCATTCTCGCCTTAAACTGAAATCAAACTCACTTGTTTGTAGGCGATAACTCTGGCTACGGCGAAGTAAATCAACTGGGCGGTGTTTTCGTCAATGGACGCCCACTACCAAATGCAATTCGAATGCGCATCGTCGAACTGGCACAGCTCGGCGTTCGACCGTGCGACATCAGTCGACAGTTGCGAGTCTCACATGGCTGCGTTTCGAAGATTCTCGCCCGGTTCCACGAAACGGGGTCTATTCTGCCGGGTGCAATCGGTGGCAGCAAGCCAAGGGTGACCACACCAAAGGTATATAAACTTGATGAACCAGGAACTTTTTTTCAAACTTGAATACCTATAATCAATAAACTTTTTTGCTGCAGGTGGTGACGTACATTAAAGAGCTGAAGCAGAAAGACCCGGGCATATTTGCTTGGGAAATTCGCGACCGCTTACTGACAGATAATGTCTGCGACAAGTACAATGTACCGTCGGTCAGTAGTATCAGGTAAGTGAGAACTAGTTCAGTTATTCTTCTGAAGCATCGTATCTATATTGTATGTCCTATCTCTTCCTGTTGGCAGTCGCATTCTCCGCAACAAGATCGGCAGCAGTGGTTCGAGTGGCTCTGTGAGCAGCCTCAGCCCGCTGAGCCCTGTAGTGTCGGCGGTGACGACGAGTCACTCCAGCTCGAACAGTTACCACCACCACCACCATCACCACCACAATGGCGGCGGCAGCTTCTCCAGCGCCTACTCACTGGACGGCAAGGAGAGCGTGCGCACGGCACTGACCGCCGTCTACAACCCCATCTACGGTGCCTATCCCACTTCGAACATTTCCACCCCGGTGGTGCCCAGTGCCATCAGCGGCAGCCACTTCCACGGCATCTATCTCAGCAATGGCAGCTCCGCTGGGCCGACCGACGACCTGATGAGCCCTGCCACTGCCGCCGCCCTCAAGGCAGCCGGCGCTCCCTCCTGGCCCTCCTCGCACTCGGTCACCGATCTGCTGTCGGTGGGCAGCGTCGCCACCAGCGCCGTCTCAGCGTCGGTCGTCTCGCAGCCCAGTCCGGTGGAGACGCCGGCCAGCAGTGCTGTTGCTGGCGGCGGCGGCGGCAACGGCGGCCCTGGCCAGTTCACCCCCATAGGCAGTGACCCGAATGGCATGCTGACCGCGGTGGCTGCCGCCCAGACGAACCACTACATGCAGAACTACTACATGCAGCTGATGCACTCGCACTCTCACTCGCACAATGCATCACCTATTGCCTCCATCGTTCCCTCCATGACTGGCTTCCAGTGACCTGTTCACCTCTTCACCTCACCCTTCACTCCCCATGTCCTATCCATATTCTCTATTCTCTATTCGGTATTATTTTATGCCCACTGCTATTTAGCTCTGTACTATTGTGATTAGTGTGTCTCCATCTTCATCTGAGTGTATTGACCCATAGCAACTATGTATTCCAAGTGCCGCCTTTTGTTTCATCAACAGATATGAAACTTTTAATTTTTAAATTTAATAAAATGTTCATTCATTGATTAGCAGTTTAGTTAGGCTCTATTTGAATTATTTTTGTTGAAAAAAATAAAAGTTTCACTGGTAAAGAGCCACCATCTAGTGGCAAATTGAACAGTACTTGCTTGGGTGTCGCTTGAATGTTGTTGTTGTTTCTTGACATTTGTTCATCCATCCATCAGATTATTTTATTCAGTTAGAATTCTGTCAAAGTTCAATCAACGAAAACCATGCCACCGGAAGAACTTCAATCGCGAGAGCAGCCAAATGATACCTTTGAAATGGAATCACAGTTCATTCTTCGGCTGCCTCACCTACCAGCAGCTTCACTCAAGGCAGCTGTCAAGTCAGGTATCACATTGTTTAGTTTTGGTTTGTAGAAACTTAATTTGTTTTGATATTATTCTTTTCAAAAGGTGTACAAAACCTCAAAGATCGACTCAGTATTCAGCTAGATCCTGATATTCGAAATGGAAAAGTCCGCTTTGATGGCTGGGTACTGCCGGCAAAAATTGTTGATTTACCGACAATTATCGAGTCGCACAAAACTCTCGATAACAGGAACTTTTACAAAACTGCCGACATTTGTCAAATAATGGTATGCAAAGAAGAGGCTGAAGAAGTCAAACCGGAAGAATCAGAAGAAATTAAGAAAACTAAAGATGGTTTGTGTGCATGTTATTGAAAAACAGTACGTTGGCTAACAAAATTTTCTAGGCTAAGACAAAAGGTATCTGTATCCTCACGGCATAACTGCTCCGCTAAAAAATATCCGTAAGAAACGGTTCCGCAAAATGCTTAGAAAAAAATATATTGATTTTCCGGAAATTGAAAAAGAGGTGAAGCGACTTCTAAGAACGGACAACGAAGTTAAGTACGTTCGCTATGAGATTGTCAATGTAGAGGATGAAAAGAACGATAACAAGGACCTGAATATGACTTCCAGTTCAGGTGTTATGAACTCTGAGTATGACGTGGGTATGTAGCCATGTGCTTTTCTTTTCTGGTGATTTCTAATATTTTATTTGTAGGGGATCTTTTTGGCGATGTCGTTAGTTCTAGCGATGATGACGACTCCGACGATGGAAGTCGTTTATCAGGCGGTTTTAAAAACTACCTGAAGGATGATGTTGACAGTAAAATGAATCAGAACTATTCGTTTTCGCCAATACACCAGCAAGCTTCGACTGGCGGCGCTTCCACATCGGCAATCGTTTCAAGCGATCGCGAGGACAGTTTAATGGAAAGCGAAGGCATCGAAGCTGCCTCTAGTTTAGAGCAAGGCGTTGAAAATGAATCTATACGTTTGAAAATGGACGAACTCGAAAAGGAAATTCGCAACATTCAAGTTCAACGGTTACAGCAGCAATTTGAACTGGACAACATCGAGAATATTGCTCTCAAGCAGCGTTTCCAGGCAATCATTGACGATCTACAGGCACAAGAACTTTCCAAAAGTAACGAACTTAATGATTTAAAAAACCGATTAATGATGTGAATCGGCTACTTTACATTTCGCATGAACTGCAACTTGTTTTTTGTTGTCAACGACAAACTTCTGTAGCAGCCTATCTCAATCGTCGTTTAGTGTAAATAAATATCACTTGTGGCGCCAGCCACAGCTGACGTTCACTCACGTTCAACCAACGTTGANCAACGAACTTAATGATTTAAAAAACCGATTAATGATGTGAATCGGCTACTTTACATTTCGCATGAACTGTAACTTGTTTTTTGTTGTCAACGACAAACTTCTGTAGCAGCCTATCTCAATCGTCGTTTAGTGTAAATAAATATCACTTTTGCATTTTATATGGCTATAAGTTTGCTAGCGACAGACTGGATCCTGCAATGATCCTGCAATGGTTCGCAACCAGGAGCGCCGTTTGCACTTCTCTTCAGATGAGTGATTACGTCATCCTGCTGCCGCTGCCGTAGTCGAAAGCAGCGCCAGCACTGCAAAGGCGTGCTCTATTTTCTTCGCCGCTCTCTCTCACTCTCTCTCTCTCTCTCGCTCACTCACTCTCACTCACACACACACACACTCTCTCTCTCTCTCTCTCTTCACATTTCAGCTCGACGATCGGCACTTGTCGTTTGCATTTTCCAAGCTGTACATTTCTTCTTTCCCTATCAACTGTGCAGGAGCCTCGAACACACCTCTGAATTGTCATGGCTTACCCAGGGTATCCTCCTCTAGAGTAAGTTTCTTTTCTAACCTGTCAGTGCTGTATCTTTCAGTTGTATGATAACTTTATGACGCTACCACATTGATCGATGCCGCTACTGCTTGCGTAGAGACAAGTGAGTTGTCATTGCCTGGCATAACAAATTCACACGGGGATGATTCACCTGATTGCGTCAATTTGCGAAAGCTTACGTTGCATGCCTTAGATTAACTGATTTCTCTGAAGCACCGCCAATGGCCACAGGTAAAGTTGTTGGCTGGCAGTGTGACATACTAAAAAGACTGTCAAACCATAGGGAAAACCATAGGAGCGAGAAAGCTTCAGTCAAAAGTGCTTTTTTCGTCAAGTCTTGTCACTAAGTCTTGTTTGCTTACTTCCCTAAAGGCAACAGCCTCCTGCATACTCTTACCCAGCTCCTTATCCGGATCCAAACATGGCTCAACAACAGCAGCCTGGCTATCCGATGAATCCGATGAATCCCGTTCCAGGTGGTTATGGTGCAAGCGCGCCTCCGATTGGCTTCGCTCCGCCTCAAGGAATGCCCGGATATCCGCCTGGTCAGCCACCAGTGGTCACTGCTTATCCACCACCAGGACAGCCTCCAGGTAAGTGTGCTCAAAGTCACAACAACAACAATGTCATTTCAACCTGTTGACCTTTTCCTTTTCAACAGTTCAGTTTATGCAGGCACCAGCTGGCTACGCTGGTGACCCAAATGTTCCACCAGGCCTCGAATATTTGACAATGATCGATCAACTGTTGGTGAAGCAGAAAGTCGAGCTTCTTGAGGCGTTCACTGGCTTCGAAACTAACAACAAGTATTCCATAAAAAACAGTATGGGTCAACATGTGTACTATGCTGTTGAAGGTAAGATGCTGCTTCTGCTACTGTCTCTTCACGTCTAACTCTTTTGACGTTTACAGAGAACGACTTTTGCACTCGAAACTGCCTTGGTGCAAGTCGTCCTTTTGAGATGATCATCATGGACAATTCGCGAAATGAAATCATGCGCATTCATCGACCATTCCGATTTGACAGCTGCTGCTGCCCATGCTTTCTACAGGTAAGTGCCCGCCATTTGCTGTGTCACTGGTTATTCAATGGTTATTGACACTGACTCCCATACCTCTTTTTACCGCCATTAGGAAATTGAAGTGTACAGTGTCAATGGCCAACTGCTCGGCAGTGTTTCTCAAGACTNCACTCCCATACCTCTTTTTACCGCCATTAGGAAATTGAAGTGTACAGTGTCAATGGCCAACTGCTCGGCAGTGTTTCCCAAGACTGGTCAATCTTCTGTCCCAAGTTTACGATCAAAGATGCCTCCGGTGAGAGCGTGTTAAAGGTGGAAGGTCCCTTCTGCACTTACTCCATCTGCGGTGATGTCGAGTTCCAAGTTCTATCTCTTGATAAGGAAACCAAAGTCGGCAAAATTACCAAACAGTGGACTGGTTTGGCACGGGAAATGTTCACCGATGCCGATTACTTTGGCGTCACATTCCCGCTTGATTTAAGTGTGCACATAAAAGCTGTTTTGCTTGCAGCCACTTTTCTTATTGTAAGTTTAATTGTTCCATTTTGATACTTTTACTAACTTCAATTTTTCAGGATTTTATGTTCTTTGAAAAGTCCGGCAACAAAGAAAATGATCGTATCGGAATGCTCTGAGCGCGAAGCTTGCCATAAGTTCTCTCCTACTTACGAAAAACACTCCAGTGGTCACATCTCAATTTTCGAATCTCAAAGGAGAGCTTTCTCTACTGTTTTCATCTATGGGCCAACTTTTCATCACCTGCAAAGATTTCCTTATAACTTTATAACATTTCACAGATTTGTTTGAATGCACCCCTTTCTTTACATTTAACAGATTTAATATGTGCAAAAAAATCTTGTTTACTGTTTATTTTTGTGTGTTTCAATAAAGTGTTCATTGTTTTATTTTATTTAAATTCCGACCATTTATACCAACTTTACACTGGATTTATTTATTTATCGAATGACTTTTTATGTTTCGAGACTTTGTCCTTTCGGAGAAATGTCAGATAAACGTTTTTCAAATTCATATCAAAGCCACTTTGTTTTGGCAGTTTCCATTTGCCGCGTTTTTATAAATC